TCTGGATACTGTGTTGGTGTGGCCTACGGGCTTGGACATTGGCTCAATACTTCATTGTATTGCTCTTTATGGATGGTTTTCTCGGTGCATTTGTATTCTCTACTTGGGATACTACTACTTGCTCAGCTGTGTGATTTCGCAACTTGGTTTTATGTATATCGCTCACACTCATATTCCTTGCAATTTGGTATCGGAGCTGGTTGATGATCACCGCTTACCTGACACCGGTGACATTGTAACTTGGTGCGCTGAGGATGCTTCATGTGCAGTGAGTATACTTCGCCGCTGGTTGAATAGTGGGGCCTAGGTAGAGAGGCCAGCCGCTGGAAGGCTGTGGCGACGGAGTGGGAGCTGTGGCGACAACGGATGTATACATGATGATGAGAGTATGCTGACGTGGCATTTTGGCTGAGGTGGCACTACATTGCGTTGTGGGTGGTACCGAGGCTATTGAATGGTCATCGAAATGCTCATCAGTACAATTGGTGAGAAATCTGTGGTTGGGGGCAGCTATCTCCAGGTGCATTGTTCCCATTCCTTATCTACCCTCTCAATCTCTTCTTACCGTGAGGAAGTGAGTCCAACTTGAGTGTCCTTTCTTTAGTGAGGAGTCGTGTGCGCTCTATCTTGAGGGATGACATTCTCCCCGGTGGCGCATCTGGCAGGAGAGGGCGGTGCCTCTGAAGGGCCCTGGTCGAAGCACGTGGGTCACGGTCACCATGCCAACCCAATGGGATTAGTACATGCATGCGATGGCTGCTTTGTCCATTGAGGCTCTTTGCTGCGCTGATAGAAGGGGTGTGCGGACTGACCGTCCTATTGAGACGCTCCCAGACCGTCTATAAACATTTCTGGTTGGGGTCTGATCTGTCCATTGGCTGTGATCGTCATCCTGATTGCGACGTTAAATAATTCCTGAGGAGATGGGGGCTCTCCTTAAATCCCCTCCTGATCAGCCAGATCAGTCAGACGTAAGGCTCGTTGCACGAGAGGGTAAAGCAAGGGGCAGGCTGGTCATAACCATACTTCTTGGGCACAGGGGTGGGCCGTGGTTGCACACCTTAGACACCGCAGCTTGATGATGCTCACAGGTATGTTGGATACAGGGGAAGGGGATTCCAATTGTGAACTCAACTGTACATCACTGACATATCCATTGTGCATACATCTGCTCACACTAGTCTAAGTTTTTATTTTTGATTAGTTGGTTGACCGACTGCTGACACCTAACAGACAGACTAGAGTAGGACTGTAATCTACCATAGTCAGTTCTTCTCGAATCTTCTATGTAGACTAATCAGAATAAGAGCTAGACAATGTGTACAGTTTGTGTAGATGCTGTTAATGCCGCTTGACTAGTAGACTAGGTAACTCGCCGGACATTTATTTAACTATTTATTTTTAGATCCGGTCAGACGCATGCTGCGGTAGGTTCCAGCGAGGACATTAGTGCAAACAGCGTCTGCCTAACCTATGAGTGGATTAGAGGGTGGTGAAGGTGCAGATGACGATAGGAGGTTAACAAGGCTATCATCCCTTAGAATTCCTAGAGTGTTCCAGATCCTACAACCGGGAGACGAGAGAAGATTAAGGGTAGAAGTTAGGGCCCGTAATCTTGAGGCTGCAAGAGAAGCAGCAGCAGCTAGAGCGGTAGCAATGGCTACTGCTGCAAACTCAGCTGGTCAAGGGCAAGGCATGCCGACCAGTTCACAGTCAATCTCCAGTACATCAGGGGCTGACACTAGTCAAATAGCGGGTCCGCAGCTCAGCTCGCCACCTCCACGCACCCGGGAGCAGATGGAGCTCCACCAAGTAGAGAGGATCCGCTTGAGGTTAGAGGAGGAACTTAGGCAAGCTACTAAGAGAGAGAAGGAGATCAAAGAAAAAAGTGTCAGATTAGAGGGTAGGGAGGCAGACATAGCTGCACTAAAGGGATTAGAGGACTCTGCAATTAACACTACAGGAAAGATCCTGAAGGCAAGTGTCCTATCCATGCATGCGTACATAGACAGTAAAATGGACGCAATGCAGGATACTCTAGACCAGATTCTGCAAGCGATGCATAAGCCAGGGATCCGACCAACAGCTTTACCATCGCTGCCACTCTCAGCGATGACAGGCCTCTATGCCGCTCAGTCAGGACCACCACCAAGTGTTTCATCAACAGTAGCACTATCTCAGACTGTTGCTTCTTCATCTTCTGGTCCAGCGACTGTTGCTACACCACAGTCGCTACCTGTCTCGCAAGCGGGACAACAATATCCCTGATATCCCAAGACCCCACTGCACCCACCTGCAACCTTCTCAGGAGACAAGAAGGATGAGGCTCTCGACACATGGTTGAGAACGGTGCCAGTGTGGGTGAGGGCCAAAATGACATTGGTAGAAGAGGAGGTGATTACTGCTGCATCCTACTTAGAGGGTTCAGCAGCCCGTTGGCTAAACAGACTGGTAGCTTCAAAGGGCTTCGACAGGAACATGCATGATTGGGCGCAGACCCACACATTAGAAAGCTTTATGGACTTAGTGGAGGCTCGTTGGCACAACCCTCAGCAGGCACATATTGCGACTGATGGGCTCTTGAAACTTGATACTAGAAAGTACAAGTCTGTGCGGGAACTCACCACAACCGTAGAGCGCCTGATCGTTGTCCCTGGAGTGGAGTACAATCCACAGGTCTTGCTGAACATGTTCCTGAGATGTCTTCCCACAGACATTAGGAATTTATTAGCCAGCGAGGCTCACAGAGAGTATCATACCTTCGAGTCATTCAGCAAGAAGGCCCTAGACTTAGAGGCTAGGTTGGGTGAAGCTCAAACCCCTTCTACGGATGGGAGAAAGAAGAAGACTCCACAAGAGTGGAAGAAGAAGGGTAGTCGATTGATGGTGGTTGATTCTGATGGGAATCAAACCGAGATCGATGATGTTTTCGATCTTGTGGAGGGTTCAGAGTTTGACGGCGAGGAGAGTGCTGAGGGTGGCAACCTCGCCGCCGTAGTTAAGACTAAGGCAGCTGGTCGCGGCAAGGGCGGTCAACAAAGGAGTCAGGGGCAGGCCACTAACCCAAACAAAATAGCTGCTTGGGTTAGAGCAGGTCTGGATCAGGATGTGTGGCGGGACCGTTGGTCTCACGGTGAGTACGGTCATACACAGTTCAAATGCAAGAACCCGAAGGTCTCGCAGAAGGTCCCTCCTAAGGGTGGGTTTTCTTCTCAATATGGGGCCTCTACGAGCTCCAGCTCGGGAAACACTTAGGGCCAGTAGAAGTTATAGCTGCTTCTACTCTCGTTGAAGCGGGTGATGTACCCTCCCCGTTTCAAGAGATGGCCAAAGCTATTGACTCCTTACTCACCCCGCAGACGCATCTGGACCCAACTATACTCTGTATGTTGGATGTGTGTGAGGCCTTAGAGGACCTTCAAGGTGAGTGGTCAGCAAGGGACCCTCGTGAGTCCTGGGTGGCACTGAGTAGAGGTCCTAGAGGGGAGCACTTTGTTGTGGAAGTTGATGTGGGCGGTCGCAAGTGCGGCGCCTTCATAGACATTGGCTCCACACGAAACTTCATAAGTTGCGACTGCGTTGACAGACTGTGCCTAAAGGACGGGGTGCAGCGCCTTAGTAGACCGGTAGCATCTACTTTGGCCAACAAAGAGCGCATGATGGTGGAGGACTACAAAAAGATGTAGTCTGCACGTTCTCCTACCCAGGAGGAGAAATAAACCATAAGATATCATTCCTGGTGAGCGACGAGTTGCCCTTTGACATGTTGTTGGGCATGTACTACCTCGAGGTTGCCAAGCTCCAGTTTGACTGGGACAAGGTGTTGAAGCACGAGTTGCCTAGTGGGAGAACCGTGAGACTGGCCAAATACAAAGCCAGTAGGTTAGTAGACTCCTATGGGTGCTTATGCGCATCTGCCTTTTATAACTATTATAAACAGAACCCAGAGGAAGGAATGTACTTAGTCTCTGTCTCTGCAAAAGGGGAGGCCGTTAAAACACCCCCAGAGATAGAGATCATCGTCGCCAAGTACCCAGATCTGCTTGAGGAGCCTACAGGAGTCGTAGACATGGAGATTGTCCATGCCATAGAGATCATCCCCGGTTGTAAAACACCAAAGGGTAGAATCTATAGGATGTATCCAGCCGAGTTGGACGAACTTCGCCGGCAAAGTGCTCATAGAGAAGGGTTGGATTCGGCCTAGCACTCTCACCAGTTTTATTTGTTCCAAAGAAAGGGGGAACACTAAGGATGTGCATTGATTATAGAGGCCTCAATGTTATCACCGTTAAAAACGCAGAGCCTCTCCCACGCATCGACGATCTATTGGATAGGGTGCAGGGGTGTTAGTACTATACAAAGATAGACTTAAAATCCGGCCACCATCAGATTGCTATAAGACCGGAGGACCAGCACAAAACCGCATTTCAAACCAGGTACGGTCTGTAAGAATTTGTGGTGATGCCCTTTGGCCTTTGCAATGCGCCGGGTACATTCCAGCACGCCATGAATAGGATCTTCCATGACTACTTGGACAAGTTTGTTGTCGTGTACCTCGACGACATACTTATCTCTAGTAGATCTGTCGAGGAGCATGCTCAACATGTAGACACTGTACTTTCACTCCTCCGACGACACAATTATAAGATAAACGTAGAGAAATGCGAGTTTGGTCGCACTCGAATCTTGTACTTGGGTCATGAAGTATCCGCGGATGGGATTAGGCCCGAAGATGCTAAGGTGGCTAGCATACGTGACTGGCCACGACCCCAGTCTGTGACTGAGGTCAGATCATTCTTGGGAATGTGTGGTTATTACCACAATTTCGTAAAGAATTATAGTACGATCACATCTCCCTTGACTGATCTAACTCGTTTTGACACACCATGGGACAGGACCGACGAGTGTGAGGCAACTTTCAAGCGTTTGAAGCATGCTCTCACGCATCATGAGGTTCTCATGGTACCCGACCCGCAAAGGCCATTCGTTGTAACCACTGACGCAAGCCAATATGGGATTGGCGCTGTGCTGGCTCAGCAGGAAGGGAAGAAGTTGAGACCGATCGAGTACATGAGCAAAAAGATGCCTTCAAAGAAGTTGGCAAAGTCCACCTACGAGAGGGAACTCTGTGCTCTTTACAAGGCACTTGTCCACTGGAGACACTATCTGTTAGGAAGGTTCTTCTACTTGAGAACTGACCATCAGACCCTCAAGTGGATCAAGACACAACCAGTTTTGTCCTATGCACTCAAACGCTGGATTGAAGTCATAGATCAATATGATTTCAAACTAGACTATTTGAAAGGAGAATACAACAAGGTTGCAGATGCGTTGTCTAGGAGGGCAGATTACCTAGGTGCACTGATTTCTGAGTTTGGTTTGTCTAAGGACGTGACTCGATCGTTGGGGGAAGCCTACAAGGAAGATCCCATCACGATGGACATCATCAACAAACTTCAGGCCAAAGACAAGCCCACCTCTGACGAGTTTGTGATGGTGGATAGGTTACTCTTTCTTGAGAAGGCAGGGTTCAAGAGGTTCGTTGTTCCATCTAGGGAAACTTTGCGTAGTTTATTTTTAGTTGAGTGCCACGACGCAATGGGACACTTCGGTTATAAGAAGACTAGTGCTAACTTAGTACAACGATTCTGGTGGCCTAACATGCTTGACGATGTGAAGAAGTATGTGGAGACCTGTCACGTCTGTCAGCGGGACAAGCCGCGGACTCAAGCTCCGCTTGGGTTACTCAAGCCTTTACCCATTCCTGCTGGTCCAGGACAGAGTATCTCCATGGACTTCATGGATACTCTCGTGACCAGCAAGAATGGCAAGAGGCACATGTTCGTCATAGTAGATAGGTTCACTAAGTACGCTAGACTAATCGTCATGCCAGAAACTGCCAGGACTGAGCACGTCATTAAGTTGTTCATGGACAACTGGGTGCGTGACTTTGGACTTCCAAAGACTATCGTTAGTGATAGAGATGTGAGATTGACAAGCGAGAGGTGGAAGAAGGCCGCTTAACAGATGGGCAGCCAGCTTCAGATGACTTCTGGGAATCATCCAAAGCAAATGGGCAGGTTGAACAGATGAACCGAGTGGTGCAGCATCTGCTGAGGCATTACATCAAGCCCAGCCAGGATGACTGGGATGAGAAGTTACCTCTCATCGCCAGTCTGTACAACAACGTTGTACACAGCACCATCGGTGTCAGTCCTAATCAACTACATCTGGGATGGAAGCCTAGATCTGCTCTAGACTTCCTCCTGCCTGAAAACCGAACTGCCGCAACTCCTGGAACCATTGAATTTGGTGTCAAGTATGAAAAACTGCTGCAGCAGACTGTCGAACACATTAAGAAATCTCAGGAGGTCATGATTGCTTTCGAGAAAAGCGTCGCGGACAGTCCACATTTCAGGTAGGGGAACGTGTCTGGGTCAAGGCTAGTGAATTGGGATAGGAGTTTGGCATCTCTAGGAAACTAATGCCTCAGTATTTCGGTCCCTGGGAAGTCCTGGACATTGTGGGGAATGGTTTGGATGGTCCCTCGTACGTCATTCGTATCCCTGGTCACTTACGCACTTACCCTGTTTTTCACGCTTCCAAGCTTGCACCTTTCGTTGAGACAACACAGTTCCCTTCACGGAGATCTATGCTGCCCCCAACCATGGATGGCCATGTGGACGTCGACTACATCCTGGATCACAGAGATACGCCTGTTCCTAAGCCACCTGGCAGGGGAAGACCTCTCAAACCTGCGAGGGAGTACATAGTACATTTCAGGCATCATATAGATCCGAAGGAAGATCGATGGATTTCAAGGGAGGAACTTGTCAAGACAGTTCCTCAGATCGCGACCGATTATGAGAAAAGACTGAAGGGGAAGGCACCAGCATGAAGCATCTCAGCGGACTTTCGAAGCTAAGGGGGATGGAATGTGAGGAACAAGCCCTCAAGTGGCCCTATCAGACATCACATTGTTCTGTGCCAAGGCTCCAGCAA